ATTATTTTACTATCAGAGATGCGCAGATTAGCTCTAAAGTCACTGAATCTGCTGTTAAAAACGAAGAAGCGGGTGCAGATATCTATATCAGAGAAAATTATAGGTGCGGGCGGGTGGATGATTTGTTTAAAGCCGCGGATTCGGGTGACATTTTAGCTGATCCGCGCATCTCTAGCTCTCAAGTTTTTATCAGGCTTTGGAGGCTGACTGTTCATTTATATTTAAAACACTAAAGCCTGCTTACATGAGTGTGTTTCATTTTAATTTGGCCTTAGGCAATCAATGTATAGTACATTCAAAAGACTTGGAGATGATCGATATTTTAATAAACATGCAGTTTCAAGTAACTGAGCAAAGTGTAGCAGCATGTCCTCACCCCCCGCCCTTGAATCAAACTTTCAATTCATTTAAATGATTCATTTTGATAGGATCGGTTCTGTAAATTGAACCGAACTTCTCATCACTAGTGCTTGCAGCAGGATCCCATCTAACCTATTTTGGAATTAATTTTAAAATAACAAATTCTATTTTCTGATTGCCTGGAAGGTGGCTTGGTCAGTGCATGAGACCTGAGAGCCCTGTATGGCACATACCAAACAAGGTTAATCTCAAAATTAGTAGAAGTGTGGGCACATACAACAATGCCATGGTAATGCCATGACTTCACAGCACGGGAGGACAAGGCAAATGAAGCATGAAGCTATAAAGGCATTTTTTACATTTGAGGCCAATTCTAGGTATGTGGAGTTTGCATGTTCATCCTATGTTGCACAGCTTTCCTCTAGGACATGCAATTAGGCTAACTGGCATCATGATTCTGTACATGTGTAAGTCCTACAATGTAATATCTAGACTGTACCCTTGTGCTCTACCCCCTACCCTGACCAGGATAAAAGCAATGGGAAGATGGATGGTTATCTTTAGCTTTAAGGCTCGAGATTAGCTTTGAACCCTTCAGAGAAATGGAAGAACAAAATGAACAGCATAGATCTGTTTTGAAGAATTTATAAAGGCTGGAAAAATGTAGGAGCTTGAGTGGGGATTTCCAGATGTTATCAAAGAACAAACAGTGTGATGAGTAAAGTCAGGGGTCCATGGCTTACAGTTGTCTGTGAGCATAATCTGGGATCAGATGTTATTCTTACAAAAATTGCTTCCTATTTGTTGACGATATTTGTGACTAGGGCTGTCAATCCAGCAACTAAACACAGTTGATTGTCCATTGTTGTGACAGTACATTTCTTCATATCATCAGGTTTCCTGTTAAATACTAAAATCTGAACAAGAAGAATAATATTACCAATGAGAAAACAATTAATATATATGTAATTTTTGGCATCAAACAGAAACTATGAAACTTTTGTGCTTTTTTTTATTGTTGGAAAATGTGGAGAATCTCTCTAAATTTCTGTTTTGCATGTGGTGGCTAATATGATGACCACATATATCATTTAGTGTGTAGAATTATTACAGTGGGAAACTACACCATCTATTTTAACCTAAAAGACTAAAGCAACTGAAAATTGTGACAAATGATGACAATAGTATAAAATCATTTGCATATATGTACAAAACGTTTTGGAAATTTGTGTGAAGCAATGAGAAATTATGTTCTGGTATGCAGAAGTGACATTGTGGTGCGGGGATTACACTTGTTGGTTTGCAAACATTGTCACTTGAGAAATGCTTCCAAGTAATCGAGAAAAAACGGAATATAAGGGAACTATGCAATAGCAGAACAAATACATTAAAACTGAAAGTATAAATCACCAGCAAAGTTCTTCAAAGTAAATGAGTAGCTTCTGTGTTGTATTTCACTTTCACAAAATTTCCTCTTCCTCTAGCTTAGAAAAGCTAGAATTTATTTTTTGATAATGTTTTTTTTTGTCTTGAAGGATATACCATGTGTTCATATCTCTTCTTCAAGAAGGTTGCTAAGTAATCATCTCCAGATATTGGTTCAAAGAAACTTTGACTAACTGTGCATATAGAAAGTCAGCAAAAACCATGAGATGCATTTTCACTGACCCGGTTTCACACATAAACAGGATGGGACACAGATAGCTGAATTTGTTTATCATCAAAAGGAAAACAATTGCTTAACTCTCTCTACAGAGACATGTTTGGAGGTCATGATAGTAAAATTTTAATAACGCTTCAGATAGATAAGATGTTGATGGCATCATACAATAAGCCAGCTCATAAGGCAAATTATTAAATGCTCATATTTGTAAAAAAAGAAATATATCATAATACAGTGTTAGTGCCCAGAAACGCAGCAGAAGCAATGGATTTTCTTGATGGGGATTTCGCTGAAGAACTTCTGATTCTGGCTCTCAGCGTGTACTGGATTCTGATGCAGATTATCCAGGTGGTTCAGGATGGCCCATTTCTGTAGGCAGTTAAGTTTGCCACTGAAGTCCAACACAGCTCTGAGATGTTTCCTACTGCAAAGCCAACGAGAAAGTTTTTGTCCATGAGAAGAACTTGCCTGAATGCATCAGCCAAACCTTTTTTTTTATATATATATAGCTGTGGATTAAGATTTTGACAACCTGTATTTTTTATTCTATCAAAGGTATCCAATTATTGACCACACAATTTTTTTTTCTGTAACCGTTACGTGAATAAATCGATCCACACTGGTTTGATTTGTTTATTATGAGTAGTGCAAATTGTTATTAAGATAAATGCTTGAAATGCTACTAGGAAGCAGGGCTATTCAGTAATATCTGAATGATTATTAAGCATTGGGATAACAGGATAAAAAAATTAATATTGTGCTACAATAAAGGTATCTAATACAAATAGGGTAACTATGACCTGAGTTCAGTTTTTCACTGAGTTGGAAAACAGTGTCCAATTTTTTGGCATCATTTCTGGCACTGGGTTCTGTCATTTTATATCCTTTTTTGAAGCCTGGCTTTGTTCATTTTGAGACAGGGAAAGAATTTTCTTTTGTGTGGGATTTACAGCAGACGCTGACCTGGCCGCGTGGTTTTCAATCTGTTCCCACTGAAAGGTCAACTTTTTTGTGTTATTTTACTGTGTCCTCAACAGCTCAGGAGAGTGTTTCCTATGTGTCCAGATTTTGGTGGACTCTGGTATCAAACGCCTAATGCAGGGGTGTCAAACTCCAGTCCTGGGGGGCCGGAGCCCTGTGTAGCTTAGTTCTTTCCCTGTTCCACCACAAATGATTCAGCTCAAGAGCTGTGTGGTAATTAGTACAAGGAGGTGCAAGGACTTGAATCAGGTGTGTTAAATGAGGGGAAACCCAAAAATGTGTTGGGCTCCGGCCCCCCAGGACTGGAGATTGACATCCCTGGCTTAATGGAATGAAGCCGTGTTATAAGAATAATTAAGCCTTTAGGGGAAATTTTGGTGTACTTCTTTGGGGAAGCTAATGCAGCAAGAGGCTGCGCAATGACAAAGATCAAAGCTTTGTTGAAAAGAAGTGCAACTGCGGAAGAAAATGGTTTTGCAATCGCAAGTTCAACACCAGAAAGAAACATTGGCAATCTATTGCCCTTTAAATACTTTTGCTTCCTGAATCTGTTCACTATGTGGCTTTCCCAAGTTTATCTTTTCTTTAATTTCTCAGTATCTTAATGTCTTTGATGTGCATGCTCAACTTCCCTTAAAATCACGCCCGACAACCTTTCATATGACAATGCCCAAGGCCTCTGTAGTTTCTGACTGCATTGCTGGTATGTTAATGCAGCAGGTAAAAAAAGACAAACTCAGGGATATTTTATGTACCCAACCAATGTCACCCAACATTTTCTGATAGGTTAGGGTGCTGGTGAGGTGAGGGAGAATCCAAACCTGATATCTGGGTAATCCTTCACCAATGACTGTAAGACAATCTTAATATCCTCAGATTTCTTCTTTTCAATAATATCAACAAGGTGTTCTCCAGCTGGGTAAACCCAGTTCATGCTGGATGACTGTGAATGGGATAAAAACCAGCTGTCAGACATACAAGGGTCCCAGATAGATTACTTCATGTAGAGCTGTGCAGGAGATTGTATAGGAGCTGAAGACGAGCACTAACCATATTCTCAAAGTTTTCATAAAGCACTCCCCACTGCCTTCTGAGTGTAAACACTATCCTCTCATGGTCCCTCCGTCCGCAGGACCAGCGGCTCGTCATCATTTGAGAGATGTACTGCTTTGCCACGAAATAATGCATCTCGTCCACAAATTTCTGCCATACAAGTGCAATTAATGTCATGTTTTGCAATTCAGTTTATGTTCAGTTATTCACACGACAGAAACCCTGTCCCCTGCTTCCTTACCCATCTCACCTGCTTATATGGAGGCCTCATATGCTGGCAGAGCTCGGAAAGCACCTCTATATCATTCACAATTTCTCGAAACGGTTCATCACTGATCCACCTTCCCCTCATCAAGTTCTTGAAGTTCGGCTTCACGTAAAGTAGAAGATTTCAGATTTTAAATGAGAAAAATGAACATTATGTAAAACTCGCCTTTACATCCTGAGTGTGTTTGAGCCACCTGAACTGAATACATTAACATCAAGCTTAATAAATGAGTAAATGATAAGATGCTGTCCAGGCTGTTCATGCTTCTGTGCAATTTGTCACAGGACGATGGAGAGGATTTGAGGTCTGTGACATGGTGTAATATGTAAAACTGGTGGAGAAGCATACATGGGTAGGAGGGATGAATAATGGGGACATTTGAACTGATTGCATGTGGTGGGTGATTTTAACGAGTGTGATCATTTTTCATTTCTTAAATGTAAGCGTTTCATTCGCTAGTGGAGCTGCAGGCCCCAAATGGCAGCTTTTCATTCGCTAGTATAGCTGGAGGCCCCTGATGGAAGCGTTTCATTCGCTAGTGGAGCTAAAGGCCTCATGCCATTATGATATCCTCCTATCCCCTCACCTCTGTCTTTTCCTTGAACTTCTCCATCAGAGTCTGGCCTAGCTTGTTGACTTCAGCATCCATCTTTTGCACCACCTTCTCCACCTGCTCTGCACTCGTAGCTCTGTGCTTCTCCAGGTACTCCCTGAGAGGAGCAGACTTTAGGGACTGATGGAAAAACATCTATGTTTCCTCTGTGATGCATGAGGATAGGTTATAAATATGTTTCATAAAACCATTACCTAAGCATTAAGTCCTTAGAGAAAGTGAGTACATGACTAAGAATATACTTCATGGGATGTACATTTTAAATGACAAATTATAAATACATCCATCCATCCATATTCCAACCCGCTTATCCTTCTGGGTTGCGGGGGGTCCGGAGTCTATCCCAGAAGCTACGGGCACGAGGCAGGGAACAACCCAGGACCGGGGGCCAGCCCATCGCAAGGCATTAAATACATTTAAAATTCCATTATTATGACTTGCACCTACTGTATGGATATGAAACTGTTGATGTGAGCAATCTGATACTGTGCACACAAGGGCTCAGACATGTCGGTGTACCATTGCTCAAAGTCATTCCCAAACCTGCACCTCAAACAATGAACAAACAACAAACACAAATTAATGTTACAGCACACATCGCCGGGCTATTGCTGAATTGCCTAAACAGATTACCTTTCCAATCTACAAATGAATAGCATTGCTGTAATTAAGGCATTATGACTTTAAAATCTAAAATGTGAAAAAGAAATGTGTACCCCCATTGCTTCTCCTTTGAAAGAGCAGAATTATTATTTTCTTTCATTCTCTCTTTAAAGAACAAAGCAGATGGAACTGAAAGGTAAATGAGCATTTTAATAATCTCTATATATTTTATGCCTGCTTTCATTTCCGCACCGTTCTGCAAAGCACTGTAGCTCATCCAAGAAGATGCACAGAAGTTTTCCCTCCAGGTTTGCATTCATTTCTTGGATTCTGGTCATGTATTCATCTAAGGCCTAACACATAAGAAAGAAAAGGTTGATTGCTGATATAAGGTGTCCCTTACTTAGTTTATTACTATAAGCTGCTAGCTAAGGTGTTTAATGTCTCATCGTAAGAGCCACACAGCCTCACTGGTCCACTATTAACTAATTAAAACTACATCAGAGAGCAGTTATGTAGAGTACCTTACAGATATCGTGGTGCATTTCAGAGTGATACCAATCCAGGATTTCAGGCTCTTTCTTTTCAATCATGTTGTTTTGCTCAGTGTTGATTATTCCTCTAAAGATGTTCATAAATACTTCCTAAAAGTACAACAAACAACATGATTTTTTCGATTACTAAGGCTACTTTGCGCATGGCTATTCTGATTAGCCTGTAGGAACTCTCACCTTTAGCTGCTGCCAGTATTTCTCTTTGATCTGGTTCAAAAAGTCATCCTCCAGGGGAAGGACCATAATGTTATCACACATATCTGGCTGGAGAGTGGGGCTTCCCATCAATTCCTCGCTGTCGGCCAATGCAACTTGATCAGCACAATCAAATACTTGAAATCACAGAATGGTAATCAAATCATATGGGTTAAGTGAACTGTGAGTTGCAGATTTTGATCCAGATTCCAGTTATTGCATTATTCCAGCTACATTACAAGCTGCATAATGCAAAGTATGAACTAACGTTATTTTTTACAAAATTTTACTCTCTACACAACAGCAATTTACCTTTTGTAATCGTTCAGAATCCACTTCAGCAGAGCATAGGAATCTTTGGTTTCTATCTCCTTCTGGTAGATTTCCTTGAGGTGTTGGGCAATGGCCTGATGGTAGCTGTCCACGTAGGTGTTAAAGACATTGAAGCTGGGATGGTAGCACTTTTTTAGGTTGTTCTTCACGTTCTCCAAGTCCTCCACCACAGCCTTGCCTAGTTGGCCAAGGTGAACAGCCAGCCATGCTCTGTTCTGCTCCTTGGTGTCCAGGGTCACACTCTGGATCTTAGCCTTAACCCCATCCCTCACTGCCTCCTTCCAGGAGTCCCTCCAGCTCCACTCCCCACTGCCTGGGTCCTTCTCCCTCTTCTCCTCCTCCTGGATGATCTGAGCCACTTTAACCAACAGCTCTGTGTCACAGGGCTGCTCATTGTTTGAGTCTCGGACGACGCTCATCATCTTGTCTCGGAGGGCTTTATAGAGAAGATTAAGGTCCTTCTCCTTGTTTTTAAGGTGCATGGAAGGTGTTTTGGAGCCATTTTCCTCTAGTTGTCTCTTGAGCTCCTGCCGTTCAAAGATAAAACTCCGGTATGCCTTTTCAAGTCTCGTGCTCTGGATGAGATCGTGGATCTCCATAGCTACAACCATTAGTACAAAAAAGTCAAATACCACTACCCTTCTTCATAACATGCCGTACCAGCACATTTAATACAGGATGTTTGCTGTAATCATACTTGCCACAAAGAGCACTGCAATGATATATTTTTTAATGAATTGTCTATGATACAAATTGATAATGGTATCATTAGTCGACCAATGATGGGGCAGGGAAACCAATCACATAACTGCAAGCAAATTATAACAACGTGTGTTAATATATTATATATGTAACCTTACCAGAAAGCGATGAAGACTCCGCTGGGCATGTGTTACCCTCACCAGCTCGTAGTAGGAGGGGCTCATTTTCTCTATTATCATTTTTGTGAACTTTCTGAAATTTCGTCAGGTCAATATTGCTGGAATCTCCCTTTGTGTCCCCTGCTATATCAGCGACAAATCAAAACTTGACATCTTCAGCTGAAACCTCTTAAGAATACTCAACATTAGCGTCCGGTGCTTCTTTTGTACTTGCTCCTAAATAAGTGGGCTCTTTGTATAAAAAGATATTAAATTTTTTAAAAATGACAGTTGCCTTGGCATTTATAAGGCTGCAAATAATAATGAATCAATAATTTGTGACATATCCATGGAGACAAATTTACAAAATAAGATTTCAGGCAAGCCTCAAATAATAATTGAAAAAACTAACAAAGGAATGTGAAATGATTATCCATCCAGAGGATCAACATACAGTACAGTAACGTACCATTTGAAGATGAATTTCCCATCAGGCAATGTGGCTTTTTAAAGTGTTTACTTTTAACGTCAGCCAACCAGTTTCAACCTGAAGAAGAAACAAATAATACTGTGGGGGGGGGGGGGACTCTTTATGGCAGGCATGGCGAAGGAGAGAATATCCACGTAGCAACTCCAATATACCAGGATTTTATTACATGAAACACAAAGGGAGAAGCAAAAAACAAGGGGACCTTGAGGGATCAAAGTTAAAGTAAGACAGGGAGCAACACCAGGAACAACAATACCAAAGGAAGGGAGGAATACAGGAAGCTACAATGACAAACACAGGGTAACTGTAACTGAGAAACACACAGGAACACAAGGAAACATAATGACCCACTGAGGAAAAAACATAGGAACTTAAATATACAACTAACAAGACACTACACAGGACAGGTGAGAACCATAACCAATCAAACCATCACTAAGGATTCAGGCCAACAAGGAACAGGTTAGGTAAATTACAACTAACAGGCACTAAAGACTAGGAAATCCTAACAAAGACTGAGGGCTACCTACAATAGGAGAGACTAGGGACACAAGTACAGCAGAACATAACTAAATGAGGCATGGGCAGGGTAGACCATAAACAGGGACACAAAGTACAGACATAGATTAACAATGCCAGACCTACAGTATAGGGATTAAATAAAACCAATATATTAAACAAAAGATGACAGAAAGGATGTCTGCTTCTGAGAAGGGGCTGAGATTAAAATCTGGGTCCCAGTGGTGTGAGACGACAGTGCTAACCACTGCACCACCCACGTTTTGCGCAAAGTAACTGTCAAAAATACAACATGGTGCACAAGACAGGAGTATAAACCACCTCATATTGTGTGTGTGAGCATTTGTGAATGAGTGCTGAGAGAGGAGGCCGTGTGAAGCTGGGCCTGATGGGACAGGCAGACTCAGATAAGAGCAAAGCTTTGATCGCTGAAGGTAAAACCAGTGGCCAGTGTGGTTACCAGGTGCAATCTGAGCTCCTCCTGAGGCATAAAGGGGAGCCACGGCAAAGGGAGTATCTGCAACTGCCAAATGTGCACCAAAGTGATAACAGACCCTGAGAGTCGTGTTTTGAATTATATAAACATTCGAAGCAAGTGTTCCTTGGCATATTAATCTCCAGAACCACTGGGGTGCTATATGTATAAGGACTTTGTTCACGTCAGTCTGATTGGAGCCTTTCTCAAAGAGAATTTCCTCAAAGTCAATGCCCATTGGCGTCCCATTCAGGGTGTCCCTTTGTCTTGTGCTTCCTGGAATAGGCTCTAAACTCACCTGAACCTTGTACTGGAAAAGCAATTATGCGAGATGGATGGATGGATGGATGGATGGAACAATGACATATGGGCCTAAAATGTTTGTACAGGGGGCGTGGATGCCTTGGGGTGAGGTGAAGTCAGGGATATACTCCTTCACCTCACCTCTGCTATACCCAGTCATCACACTGGATTTTCTCACAGGCAAATGACTCACTCGCAGGATTTTCTATGACCCAGTTCTGTGCATGTTTTCTTGCATGCTTCCTTATGTGCTGAAGCTCAGACACCTGACTTCGGGTTTCTAACCTGTCTCCGCCTTTGTCAAACCATCTCCACTCCCGTCTCAGAGTCCATACTCCTTCCCGAGTCAATGCCATTATACCCACAGCAGCTCTTACAGCAAGTTATAAATTCCCAGCACAAGTGTATTTGCTGCTTTGCTCTTCTGAACTTATATCTATAACATGATGTTTATTGTGTACTTACATCTGCAACTGAAGTTTAGTTTCTGGTAGAGAAGACAGGTATTAATACATAACAAAACTTGACTCACCACGTCTTTCACTATGAGGATGGATGCTTCTTTACGGGTCTGCTTGGGCTCCTGTTTCCTCGGAGTGGTATCATAGTGATTGTCACCCCAGGCTCTTCAGCTCAGTAAACCACAAGTGCAGTATCTCATGCAGCCGACATCCTGTTCTACTCTCGGTGTGCCTCCACATGACTTTAGCATAACAAGACCATGACAACCTGCATGGTTGAGGCTGCAGCTCCAAGAATGGGCTCATTATTGAACGAATCAAAATGTAATGATGTGGATGTGGACGAGGCGTGGATGTGTCAAAAATCATGTAAAGAGGTCTAGTTGGCGCGAGCTTCTGTGTGTGTTCTTTTGTATTTTAGCTTTTTTTTTTCCAAAATAGTGAAGGAGGCTGACCTTTACGGTCTTCAGGCCTGGGCTCCTGCTCAGTTCTGGCTATGCTATGGCATCATTTCTTATTAGCACTAGATGAAATTCAGAGGTGGAAAGTTCAGGTGCTGAAAGAAAAATCCAGACCAAGATTTTATTTCAACCAACCAGTTGCGTATAAAGAGTCACAGTCACAGAGTACTCAACTGGTTGGTTGAAACAAAATCTTGGTCTGGATTTTTACTTTCTGTACCTGAACTATCCACCTCTGATCAATGCAGTGGCATGTTACCGAAGCCACGCGATCAGTTATAGTTTACGAGAAAGAAGAAACTGCCTGAAAGTGAAATATTGCAGGCCAGACCCGGCCGAGTTTGGCTTCATGATTTTCAAACTGCTGGTAAATTTTGTTTCTATGCGTTGTGTTGCCATTACATTGTTTGCAAAAAACAAAAGAAAAAGCACGCACACATTCAATGAACAATATGTGAAAAAAGCACTAAGTCACACAAAGCATTCATGCACAGTAGAAACTGTACTTTAATGTACAGTATATTGATCGAGCAGGGCTTCCACTGAATGCCAGCCTACACTGAAACGCTGGCATTTGTCTCAATGAGAAATTTGAGAAAGTTGTTTTCAGCAGTGTCTGCAGCAGTGAAACCTTTGCGGAAATCGGAGATCTTTTTTTGTTTGTTTTGCATCTAATTTGTTTAAAACCACGACTTCCTTTCAGCGGAAGCGTACAGGTAATGTAAGTCACTGATTCCACCACACGGCTTTCAGAGTAAAACATGCAAAAAAGTGAATCTCTTACAAGTGTAGTCACACAAATTTCACGCATTTTTCAAATCAAATTCAGAATGGAATAACAGTTAACCAAAATATAACCACTGAGAGCATGGTTTAATATACCATAGTCTGGTGACTATATTTATTCAAATTCTTTTTCAATTAAATGAATAATTTAACATTTTTTTTTAAATAATGCTAAGCTACAGGACACAAGGCAGATGGAGACTAAAGGAAACTGGCCTATATTTTCTGTGTTACTCACAGCAACCAAACAAGTCAGCGCGCTACACTGAACAAAAATTCACAGGGCATTTGGGGTCCTTTTACAGAGCACCGTATGAAGCTTACATGGGTATATATTTAAAAATCACAGTATAATATGATAAGGGTGACATTTGAGTTCATCTGTGCCCTGGCGTTTGTAGCTAACGCCCAGGGAGGGACAGGGATGCTCAGACCAGCGGCAGACTGGCCTAGCAGCACTTTCTGGCTTCTGTGTGGATGTTGCTGAAAAGTGCCTGGTCCTTGAAGCCCCCATCTCCCGTGGTCTTCTTCAGCTCCACCAGCTTCCGAAGGATGAGCTTCCGCTCCTGACCCTGTGTCACGCCTCGGAAGTCCAGGACGGCCGCGAGGTGCTGCTGACTGGGAGACGGGAAAGAGACTGCATGAGAGATAATGCAAAGTGAAACTGCAAATAAAGCAGGAGTCATCTAGCAGTTTTCACAGAGGATTTGGAAGCACCATTGGAAACATCGGTACTTCCCTCCCCCCGCCCCCCAACACTCTGGCCTATTTCCATTTCTTTTCCGTAATGGAAAATACTGTGGTTTCATTCAGAACCAACACAAAATTCCTGTCCCGCGAGTTACGTCAGTTACCACAACCCCATACAAATCCTGTTCTATCAGCCACAATAAAAAAAACCTCTAGAAATAAAAAATTTATGGCAGGCAGTTTCACAACAACCGGCTTCAGACACAGTTTCATCTCCGCCTGCAAAGTTTCTTAATACATTCCTTAAGTAATAACTTAAAGGAATGCAAAAAACCAAACAGTGCAGGAAAACTCTCCCAAGAAAATTATCTCTCGTCCTTTCAAGCAGTGTTTACTGGAGGATTACTGCTTTCTTCTTTGACCGAGAAACAAAAAAAATGACCCTGTTGCATATAAGGTCAACGGGATGAAGTTTAGTGCAGGGCCAACTCCCGGTGGACTGCCAGGAAAAAAATTAATTGCCTCTGACGGGGAAATTCCAGCTGCAAGACTCACGAAATGTGGGGAAGTACAGGAGGAAAACTAAGAGGCTGATAGGAAGGGCATCTTTAGGGGCCCTGGCAACTTTTTTTTTTAACAGTGCCTCTGAGTCAGCTGACACTGGCCCCAAAGACAATTAGATTTCTCTGGACCCCTCCATGGCATGAAAGGCGGTCTCTACAGGTCAGTCTTGACCACTGCCTTTGGAAGAAGTCTCGCTTTCACAGATGCCAAACTCACAGCCAGGGACTGGCAAGGGGGATTCCCTTTCATGCGACTACAACAGCCGTGCTGAACTTCAATGCCGAAGCACTTTTATCGTGCTGATACTCTATCCTGCTGGGAGTTTTTGCAGATATGGGAGAGACTGTAAACATGTCATCTAATATGACCAGTCTCAACTACACAGATTGTTTACTGAAGCTTGTTACACGGGGCTTGAGGTTTGGTGAGCAGGAGGGAACGGGAATTAGGGACTTTAATTGCTATTTTTGGTTGTTTTCGATGAAACGGAAGACAGTCGAGGAAGAGCTAGGCCTGGGACTCGGGTGCTTGTTAGTAATTTATGAAGAAAGGAGTGTCCTTATCTAAGGTCACTGCAGCCTGACTTCCAAACAGCTTCAGAATGCGGTAATGTGATGACTGACCAGGGCAGACAGTACCTTATATCAGGGTAGTCCCTGACCAGAGGCTCAAGGCTGTTCTTGATGTTTTTTTTATTGCTCTCTCCAATTATGTCGCTCAGGTACTTCCCAACGGGGTACAGCCAAACCGCGGTGGATTTCTGCAGGCCAGAACAGCAACAGTCTTTCAGAACAATAGAACAGTCGTTTCAGAACAGTAGGTGGTTTTCAAAGAAGTAGCGGAATGCAATTGTGAGGACAAATTCTGGTGTGTTTTTACAAAATTCCATGTTTGTCACTCAAACTGCAAACATGTCAACATGTGTTGGGAGATATCCTTATATATGGTCCTGTTCTTTTTGTTAGACATTTTGGGGCATAATACATTCATATATATTATTGAAATGCAGAGCAATTAAGTATTTGTTATAATAAACAAAACCGAATTCAGCGTGTTGATTTGCCGAGCCGGGTTCACCGTGTCCTCAAAGATCTCCTCCAGGCTGCTCCACTGCAGGCTCATCTTTTCGGCTGCTCTCTCGTGCTTCCTGCTCTTGCACGAGTAGTCGTTCTTCATCAGCTGGGAGATGTACTCTCTCACCACGTGGTAGTGCACCTTGGCCACAAACGTCTGCCACAAAAAGCAAGCGTGATGTTTCAGAGGATACCCACCAAAAGCCAGCCCTAGATGAAATGAAACTGGAGACATCCATCATCTGCTGCACTGAAAATGAAAGCCTGGTCCTTTCCATTAGTAACTCTTTCCATTTAGTCAAGGCTGTTTACAGCTTGGACTCATCTGATGTTAGTGTTTTAGCAATGTGAAAAGGCCAGGAGTTTATTACATTTACAGTAAACTGGAATAGAATAAATATGGCTCACTCTGTAGTGGGAATCACCAAATACACTCTTTATGGTAACACTTTACTTTAAGCAGCCATCATAATGCATTATAAATACCTTCATAATGCATTATAATGCATTCATAAAGCATTATAAACATGGCTATAACTATTTATAAAAAGGCACAACACATTATAGCCATGTTTATTATTCATTATGAAAGCTCTATGAAGCTCTCATCTATAACGCACTGATCATCTATACTGCACCTTCATAATGTATTATAATGGTAAGTAGAAGAATTAAGAATGTATTGTACTGCATTATGAAGGTATTTTTAGTGCATTATAGATGCATTCATAATGCATAATAAACATGCCTATAATGGATTATTGTCATGCCCCACTCATCCGCTCCTTCCATGTGCCACGTCCCCTCGTTAACCCCATGTGGATTCCCTGTGTTTACCAGCTGTTTCTGATTGTTGTCATTAGTCCAATGTATTTAGTTTCAGTTTGTTTCCCTAGTACGGTCATTCTGTCGTGCACTAAGGCACCCGGAGCACAGAAGGAAGCGCAGGATGACAGGGGTCCGGTCGTTGTATTGTCAGCATGAGTTTGCCTGCCAAGCCGTCTGTTAAACCCTGTGTTTTCCCCGACTCCTGGCGTCCTTCGCTTCTGTCTGACAATTATGCCATTTTATAAATAGTTATAGCTATGTTTATAACATTTTATGAATGCATTATACTTCATTATGAAGGTATCTATAATGCATTATTACATGACTGAAATTTTACCCTCTTCACTTGCCCTAATTACATTTGCTTACAAAACTGATGTAACAGATTATCTCACAACACTGTAACTTAAATCCATCCATATGTTATACTCCAGAGAGACAGTCCAAAATTATGCAGGAAAATAAAATGGTCAGATGGCTGAGTGGAGAGAAGATCATCCTAACAACTCATGAGTTTGTGCCCATGATTAGGAAACAGATGGGGGCCTTGCCCAGCACTCGGGACCTCCCCCATGACTTCTGCTTAGGGTGGCACTCTTCCTGTTATGCCTATTTGATCTCACGATGTTCCTACCACCCAGTATTAACCAAACAAGCCCTATCAGTTTTCAATTCCCTTTTAATAACAGAAAAAAAATGTTAGGTCAGGTTCCAAAGCTTTTCAAGATAAATGTTGCAAAAGACCTCATTGAGTTGTTCCCATTTTGTCACAT